CAGCAGATCGAGGCTGTGGTGTCCGGGAGCGGCCACTGCACTCCAGTCTGGGCGACAGAGTGAGACTCCCAACTCAAAAAAAATTAAATAAAATAAATAAAAATTAAAAATTAAAAAAAAAACAGATGTTGGCAAGATTGTGGAGAAAAGGGAATGCTCATACATTGTTGGTGGAAATGTAAGCTAGTTCAACTTCTGTGGAAAGCAGTTGGGAGATTTCTCAAAGTACTAAAAATAGATTTACCATTCAATCCAGCAATCTCATTATTGGGTATATACCCAAATGAGCATAAATCGTCCTACCAAAAAGACACCTGCACTTGTATGTTTATTGCAACACTATTTACAATAGCAAAAACATGGATCCAACTTAGGTGCCCATCAATGGTGGACTAGATAATAATAATGTGGTACATATACACCATAAAATACTACACAGCCATAAAAAAGAATGAAATCATGTCCTTTGCAGCAACATGGATGGAGCTAGAAGCCATCATTCTAAGCAAATTTATCACAGAAACAGAAAACTGAATAAAACATGTTCTCACTTGTAAGTGGGAGTTAAACACTGGGTACACATGGGCAGAGGGTTGGAAACAACAGATGCTGGGGACTCCTAAAGGGGAGAAGGAGGAAGGAAGGGATAAGGGTTGAAAAGGGATAAGGGTTGAAAAGGTACCATGCTCACTACCTGGGAAGTGAGCTCATTAGAAGTCCAAACTTTACCATCACACAATATACGTATGTAACAAACCTGTACATGTACCCCTTGAATCTGAAGTAAAATAAGATTTTTTTTTTTTTTGAGTCGGAGTCTCACTCTGTCGCCCAGACTGGAGTGCAGTGGCCGCTCCCGGCCACCGCAGCCTCGACCTGCTGGGCTCCAGTGATCCTTCCGCCTCAGGCTTCCAAGTAACTGGAACTACAGGCGCATGCTACCACGCCCGGCTAATTTTTTTGATTTATTGTAGAGATGAGGTCTCGCCTGCCCAGGCGGATCTCAAAGCCAAGGGCTCAGGCAATCCACTCACCTCAGCCTCCCAAAGGCGCGGGATTATAGCCTGACCCACCGAGCCCGGCAAAGATTTTTTAAAAAAAAAAAAAAAAAAAGTCAGGTGTGGTGGCTCATACCTGTAAACCCAGCTACTTAGGAGGCTGAGGCAGAAGAATCGCCTGAGCCCAGGAGGTCAAGGCTGCTTTGAGCCCTGATCATGCTTCTGCACTCCAACCTGCGAGACGGTGAGACCCCCAACTCAAAAAAGGGGGAGAGGGCATTTGGAGTCTTATGTTTCTAATCATGATAAAGTAACAGGGGCTAGATTTATTCTCCTGCTTTAAACTACTGATGAACCATATAAAATATATGAAACAATGGTTTCCAGACATTAGACAACAGGAAGCATGGGACCATTATTCCTGAGAGAAGGAAAACAAATGAGTGAACGTTATGATTGCCTGGAGAGAGTTTCCAGGTATGACGTGGGGACTGGGGCACTCTCTGAGTTTAAAAGACATAGTTATGACTTTGTGGCAGTAACAGCAGCTAGAATTCAGAGGGCAATACAGAGTACCATAGAGGAGAGAATTGCACAAAGAGAGAAAGTTCTGGAGATGTAAGAGGTTTCCTTTAAAATCTTCAGCTGGGCTGGGTGCGGTGCCTCAGTCTGTAATCCCAGCACTTTGGGAGGCTGAGGCAAGTGAATTGCCAGAGCCCACAGGTTTGAGACCAGCCTGGTCAACTTGGCAAGACCTCGTCTCTACAATAAATCAAAAATTAGCCAGGCGTGGTAGTGCACACCTGTAGTTCTGGCTACTAGGAAGGCTGAGGCAGAAGGATCACCTGAGCCCAGCAGGCCGACGCTGGGATGACTGTGAGTGTGCCACTGCACTCCAGTCTGGGCAACAGAGTGAGACTCCGCTTAAAAACAAACAAACAAAAACTATTAAGCAAGCAAAGAAGGAAAATACAACCCACAATGAGAAGAAAATAATCCATAGAAAAAATGATCCAGAAATGACCCAGATGTGGTCGAAGGACATTAAAATAGCTCTTACAAATATACTCCCTACAATGAAAAAGGCAGAGGAAAGCATGAGCATGTCTGAAATAGAGCACCCACGGAAGACCGTTTTCCCTAGCTCCCTAGCCCCACCTCACTTCAGGGCTGAGATCTGTCCTTGTTGGAGAGAATATGGCTG